TAAGTCGTTTTTGGTTATTCACTACTAGAAAAATGCAAATTAGTAAGGCATCTTCGACTCCTCTCTAAAATGCTAAATTAGTAGTGGATGTTAATTTTATAAGTTGACTTAAAATTAGTGAGAAAAATAATGAGAGACTGTCAATCCCTCTCTAAAATAAAAGAATTAGCGAGAAAAATAGTAAGAGATTGTCAATTCCTCTCTAAAATAAGATAATTAGTGAGAAATTTTATCCCTAACTAATTACTAAAAAAATTAACTTTTGATAGTGAATTTTAACTATATATTTAATTATTTTTATTTTAAAAAATTAAATTTAAAAATTAACTAAAATATTCATAATAAAATTATTTAATATTTAATATTATCTTTATTTTAAGTTTTTTCATTAATAAAATAATATTTTATTAAAAATATAATATAAAGAATAATTTAAATAAAATATAAATTTTTTAACATAGTAATAATTCAAAATAAAATTTAATATTTATGTATGTGTGTATTTTTTATAATATATTTGATATATTTATGTAGTTAAATAATATATATTTAATTTCTCATATAATAACTACAGATACCTTTCAATTTAGTTAGTAAAGAAGGAGAACATAAGGCTTGAAAGGTATAAAATCAAGGGTTCAAATCTTGATTTTGACATAAACAGGATGAAAATATGACATGGTAAGGAACAAATGATATGATGTAAGGTGGACAATGACATGTTATGAATTGTTGCACATGTGACGGGTGATAAGGTACGAGATGGTAGGTGACATGACAGTTGACAAGGCATGAGATTATTGGTGATATGTCATAAGTTGACGCACACATAACAAGTAATGTGGCATCACTATTTTTAAATATAGGCAAATTTAGTCAGGGATTAGTGAGGGACTAATCTCTCGTTAAAATTATCAAATTTTAAATAGTATTAGTGAGGAATTAGTGAGAAATTCAGTCCCTCACTAGATCCCTCACTAAGTGATCCCTCGCTACATTTAGCAAATTCTTTTTTGGCTACAAATTTATCCCTTACTAAAATGCAATTTAGCGAGAAAAAATGACATTCAATGAGAGATTTGTACCTCGCTAAATTTCATTTTTTATTAGTGATTTATCTTCGTGTATTGTGTGTCCACATTTGTGAATTGTTCTAATAAATCTTCAAAAATATGAATTTTTAGTTAATTGATGATTTCATATTTAATGGTTTTCAATTAGTAAATATTATTATTCTTATTTATTATTTAATTATTTTGATTTATCAAGATCAAGTGTTAAGTTGCTTTGTCATTATAGATTTAATGTTTTTGTTATTGAAGTTATATGGAACTTTTATTCCAAGCTGACAAATTTGTTTACATTAAATTGCTTTTTTATTTAATTTATATAATTATTATATTTTATTCATTTTGATTCTAAAAATTTTTATGGTTAGGACATTATTCACTGAAAAGTTATTTTGATCTCAGATAACGTAACTGATGTTGTACTTCCTACTTTCTAATGAGGGATTTTTTTTTGCTGAGCTAGGTAGAGATTTGTTCTATAAATATTTTCTATTGATGTAAATATGAACTTATATATTATGTCATAAAAAATATGATTCAATACTCCACATGGACTATAGTTAGGTCCTTATTTTTTATACATTTTATCTGTTGGTTGAAAAGAATAAAGCTCATGGTTATAGTGATTTCCTATTTGAGAATTTTGTTATAGAATTTTTCAAAGGTTCTATTTACAAGAGAGATTCTACTGAAGTTTCTACCAAAAAAATATCAAGACTTTTATTTGAATAAAAAACATTAAGACTGTCATAAATTCAATGCAAATATGATTGCAATTTTAAAAATAAATTTTTTTATTAATTAAAAGCCTAAAAGATGTGTGCTTATGCATATATTCCATATCAATCACTTTCATTTTTTTGGGTCGTGACAAGAGTAGTGTCAAAGTGTCAGTCGGAAAGAGAAAAAAAGAGACAAGAGTAAGGGGAAAATATAAAAAGAATAACGAGTATTTATATAAATTATAGTTTGATTGATTAATAAAAATATATTAGTCCCTCTCTTTTTCATTCTCAAATCTCAACATTTGGTATCAGAGTCGAAGTTAGTAGGGGGCATCTAGGCTGCTCAAGACTTGGTAGAGTTCAAATATTTAGGCGAAAAACTATGGGAGTCTAGATTTGCTCTAAGTTTTGTTGGTACATAGTCCGGGACTAGATCAATCAGATACCAGATCAACTTGGTGTAAGTACAAGGCACCACCAAAGTCATCATGGTAGACATGACGTCGAATGCTTGTTTAGTGGAGAAGCTAAACAATGAGAATTATCAAGTGTAGAGTACAATAGTTGAGCTCTATCTCGAAGGTTAGAATCTTTAGGACCTCATCGACAGAGATAATGCTACACCTTCAACAAATCCAAATGAGTTAAAGAAATGGCAAGTAAAGGGTAAGAAAGCTCTTTACATGTTGGCTATTACTGTTGAGCCACAATTTCTTAGATATGTCAAAGAAGCGAAGACGCTAAAAGAAGCATGGGACATGTTAGCCTTGTTATTTGCAATAGCAAATGATGTGAAGTAGCAATTGTTGGAGAATGAGCTTGCCTCAATTTGACAAAATGATATGCAAGTAAGCAAGCATTTTTTTAAGAGTTAAATCTATTTGTAATGAGATTTCAAAGTTAGATATAAGAAATCCTATCACTGGCCCAAGGATGAGAAGAATTATTATTACGAGGTTAAACTCAAAATACCATGGTCTAGTCACCACAACAAAAGGTTGCTCTAAGGAACTAGCTTTAGCTGAGTTAGTAAATATCTCAGCTAATCAAGAAGCTTTGAATACTCAAACGTCCAAAGTTTCTTTAAAAGATGATGAAAAGGTTATCTTTTTGTAAAAAGAGATATCAACAAGAGGACTCTAGCTCAATAAAGGAAGGAGATGATAAAAGGAGACAAAATGATTGGCACAGAGGATGTCGCAACAGAAGCTCAAATCAAGAGGGAGCTTGTGAAGATCGAGACAAGCCTGAAGAGAGGAAAAATCATTGAAAAAAGAGGCCAATGCTATAATTACAAGAAGGTTGGCCACTTTGCTCAAGACTGTTGGTATAGAAGGGCCAAAGGAAATGTTGTCACCTCCCACAATAAGAATGACAGCGAGGAAGAATAGGATTTTAAGAGTTCAAGTGCCATTAGAGAAGAGATGGTGATAGAAAATTTCAGTGAAGAAGAAATAGCAATGTGCTGCATTGTGGAAGAAGCAAATGAAGACAAGGAAGAGAATGTTAAGGTAAACAAGGATGAAGACGTAGATAAGGACGCTGAAGATATAGGGAAACTCAATTTGGAAAAAGTGATTGAATCATGTTTTGGTGTTCAGAGATCAATCGAGAAAAAAAATGAGGACGAAGATGAAGAACAAAGAGAGGAAGACTAATCATCACCATTTATGGAGATACAGAAGTTAAGAATCAAGAAATGTTTTAAGGTACAAAATGAAGACCAATACATACGAGTTTCCTCAACAAGACAAAATAGACTATGACAAGTTCAAAAAACCACTTGGGAGATTGAGGAAAACAAGAAGCAATTTAGCTTGACGAAGATGTGCCAAAATTAGTTGGTGAGGGGGAGTGTTAAAAGAGCACCAACTAATTTAGAAAAAATTTAGGGTTAGAATAAATCAAGAAAAATTTAGAAATTTTCTCAGCTGAAGAAATTTCCCAAAGACGGTGAAAAGATAATTATGAAAATAATTGTTTTAATCTTTTAAGGGAGGTGAAAGAGGAAAATTGAGAATGTTGTGGAGAAGTTCTCACCGACATGGTTGGCAGTGTAATGAGGGAAGAGAAAAGAGAAGAGAGAAAAGAGAGACGTGCGTGACGTGAGGTGAGAACAAAGGAAAAAGTGTGTGTGTGTGTGTGTGAGAGTAGCACAAGGTACGTAAAACTAGATCGGTTATTGAATCGGTCATGACACTAGGTCACGGGTTAGTAGTTTAATTAGGGTTGAATCGGGGGTTGAACTGGTGGCAAACCGGTCATGATTTAAATAATACAATTTAAATAAAAAGACATTAATTATAAAAATATTCAACCAAATCCAACCACTCAAAAGTCTAACAGTAATAAAATACAACACTTTAAATATCTATTATTACAATTACAACTCTTCAATCTCAAAAGTCTAGAGAAGAGATGGAGATTGAGCTGGAAAAGAGATGGAGAGTCAAAGACTAAGCTAGAGAAGAGATGGAGATAGCAGAAATAGAAATAGAGCTGAAAAAGAGACAGAGATAGAGCTGAAGCCTGAAAAAGAGGCGAAGACTAAACTAGAGAAGAGATGCTGATTAGGTTAGGGCGAGAGAGGAGAGACACAGATGAAAGGCCGAACTAAATGCTATCTAAAAATTTAAATTGGACTTAGCGTGCTCTACCTTTAATTTTTCATTTTTTGACTTTAGTTTCACTTTTTTTTTTGTTATCTCATTTCTGAACTTAGCACTCTGAAAAATAAAAAATAAAAAAAATCCAAAAAAAATAACTCGGTTAACCCAGTCAACCCACCGGGTTATATCGAGTTGAACCCGAGTTGACCGATTTATACCGGTTCATCCCCTCACCGGTTTAGGAGTAAACTCAGACCGAACAAGGGACCGGATCATCGGTTTTCGGGTTGACCCGACCAGTTCGGTCTGGGTTTCAATACCATGGAGTAGCGTCAATGTGTGATTGAGAAAGAGAAACAGAGACTCGAGTGAGGGAAAAATATAAAAAGAGTAATGAGTGTTTGTATAAATTGTAGTTTGAGTGATTAATAAAATTATATTTTCAGTTGAGTCCCTCTCTTTTTCATTCTCAAGTCTCGACAGCTACCAGTCTAAAGCCACCTAACCGCATTACGAACCGTTAGGTGAGCATTATATTTCGGAACAAATGTATAAAATCTACTCATCAGCACTTTCACTTCACTATAACCTCATCACATATCCGCAACTCCAGAAGATTAGGTTGAACCTCAGATATATCAGGTCTTTCATAGCATACCGATTTATCTCTCTTTAGATTTATTTTTTATTTACTTTTCACTTTTCAATATAATCGTTTATGCTGTAGCTAGCGAAACGAGAAGAACAGGATTAGATATGCAGAAACGGCTAGATGGACCAAAGCCCAACTATCTCACCATCATTCGAGGGCATAATGCCATTATCGGGTGCAATAAATGGCCATGATATTTCTTCGCAGCCAGTGTCAACCATAAATGGAACTATGGTGGCCTTCGCATGTGCTGCTACTATCATCATTGGGGTGTACGGCATACAAACTTGCCCCTTGGCCGATCTGGTAAAGAAAGTTACAAGAAGAGCTCACAGAGAAAATTTATTTGATAAGGTTATAAACGTGAAGGTGACAAAGAAGCCAGACCTGACAAGGATCCAAGCAGAACTAGCCACTGCATTGGGCTTCACAATGAAAGAGAAATCTGAAGCAAAAAGAGCTGCAATCTTGCTAGATAGAATCAAAATGGAGAAGAAACTTCTGATAATACTAGAAGATGTCCACAAAGGACTTGATTTGCACAAATTGGGAATACCTCATGGGGATGATCTTCTCAAAGATTGCAAGATATTGTTGACTTCTTCAAGTGGAGACATATTATCCAACCAGATGCAAGCTCATCGGGTTTTCCAGATTGATTGATCTGTCTAGTAATAATTTGAATGTGTGTTATTGGTCCATCTTCTGCATGTTTTCTCATGTTTAATTATGCTTGTTTAATTCTTGTAGAACTGTAATTAGCCTTCCTTGCCACTATAAGGCAAAAGTTTGTTCATTTGGTTTATCTTCTAGTTCCTTTTTGGTTTTATGTATTGCGTAATTTATAGATTTTCTGATGAAATATATTACTATAATTTGAGCTCTGCTTTATTTGATTTGTGTCTACCTTCTGCTTATATATAACAAAAAGAAAGACTTGCACGTTCTTGTTTTATATTCAAGCCAACACACAAGGAGCTCCTGGTATATAGAATCAATGGATTGATCTGCAGAAAAATCCCATAGCCATCCACCATAAACTGATCATGGGGGTTCTTAAGGAAAAGCCTTCCCCAGTTATTTTGCTCGCTTTTTAAAAGGTCAAAATTGATTGAAATTTGAAAGTCAAAGTGAAGGACTCAAGGTAATTAATTAGCACGAGAGCTAATGTTAAAATAAAAGATGTTTTAAATTATTTTATAATCATATTACTAATAACCTAGCTTTTTTTCCCCACATTGATACATACCTAAATGTATATGCCCATCGATTGCATAGACACAGACACCTATTGAATGTAAGATTAAGGTATAATTTTATCTTTAAATTATTTATAAAGGAGCAATATTATTCTTAAATTATTTAATGTAGCACTGTAGCCCATAAATTAATTAAACTAAAGCAATGCTGCCCCACAGTTTAAAACCCTAACACATCCGTCATCTAAAACAAGTGGGTCCCATTTATTTGGTAATGAGTCACCTTTAAACCCAATTCTCAGCAAGGCCCTATTCAACGCCACTGCCATTGTCAGCCGATGTCTCCACCTTGGCCTTTCTAACCTACTAGACCAGTCACCTAAGGCCACATATCTCTTTTCACCGACTCAACATCGATCATCTCAATACATTAGATTGGCTCTAAAACAATGGGGAAGATTTGGAGAGGGAGGCACTACTCCGACTCATTCCTCTGATTGACTCCCACTACCACCTCAATACATAGCCATCAACTCTTTCCCCGCATCCACCACCATCATCGCCTCCACAAGTACAATCCACTGACGTAGTTCGAAGATGTGCAAAGTGAACATATCATGCCATCGCAAGCACAATCCACTGAAGGCTAGCTCCAATGATCGAGAAAGAGGAAATAAGTGAATTGAAAGTCAGGAATTTCCCACCACCACCACCAGCATCAATCCCACCACTCCCACTGCCACTGTTATATCTGTCATCGGAGAAGAAGACTAGCCATGGTAAGAAAAAAAAAAGGGAGTACGACTAGAGAGTTCTTAACATCATTGAGGCGGAAGAAAAAGAAACAAAGAGGAGTTTCAAAAAATTTTGAAAGCATTCTTAACTCTCGAGCTTCACAGCTGCCACCATCTATGTCGCTTCTCCCTCCTCCGCCGCTACCACCACCATAGTCATTTTGTCATAATTTGTTTTCTCCCAGGAACCCAGCTAGAAAAAAGTTCACTCTGCTCCGCCGCCACCGCTTGATTTGTCCATGCGAGTGTCAAAAACCACCCACACAAATCTTCAACAGCATGGAAGGAAACATTTTTACTAGCCAATGAGGAGCATTGTTAAGGTTTTGGCATATAGAGACAATGAGGAGGAGGTCGAGATCGATGAGAAAGGGAGGCAATGGAGCGAGAGGCTAAAGCAGGAGTTTTATCGGTCAAACTTCTTATTCCCTCACCAACTTAACGGTTAAACGTTTGGATTTTAAACAAATGGAGCAACATTGCTCTATTTCAATTAGTTTAGAGGTTATAAATAGTTTAATGGCAAATTTACTCAATAGTTTAAGGACAAAATTATACATTAATCTTTAAATATACATCTATATTAAAGTTAGATTTACTTATTTTAAGAATAATAAAAATCTTAGGTCTCAGTTGGTTAGAGAAAAGAAATATAATAGAATGGAATAGAGAGCAAAATGAATTAAAATAAAGTTGTAAATTGATAAAGAGGTGATGATAATGGAGAAATGAAAGCCATAGGGTGGGAATGGAGATTAACATGAATAAAGATTATAAATCTATGCTCTTTTTTTAAGGCTTAAAAAAGTTGGGCTCAAAGGTCCTCTCATATAAAAATGTCCTAATTTTTGAAGGCCAAATCCTTAAAAAAAAAAAGGCTCACTTCGTATTCTCAGTTCTACCTTTGTATTTAATTTTTATTGATTTTGAAGATGAGGTAACATAAACTATTAAAATATGCTGTGACATGAATAATAGAATATTGAGTGAACTAAGAACAATGATGTAAATTAATGAAAAAAATTGTAACTGTTTAGGTAGGAAAAAAAAAACTCAAAATGTTCGGCCATGAAAAGGAACAGAACATGTATGTGACCCAGGAGGTGGACGTAATGGAAGAAAAACAGACAAAACAAAACAAAAAGCCTTTGATATCCAATGTCCTTTATTAGACAAAATCATCAGCCTCGAAAACCATATAAGCGTTCATATGGTTTGATAGTATCTGTGGGCTTGAAGAAGAAGTCAAGAGTATCTTGCAGCCTGTGTGATCATCCCCAAAAGGAATTCCTAATCTCTGCAAATCAATTCCCTGGTACACATGTTGCACCACCACCAGAATTTTCTGCTCCGTTTTGATTCTCTCTCTCAACAAAGCAGCTCTGTTAGCTTCAGACTTCTCTTCCATGGTGAAGCCCAATGCATCTGCTAGCTCTGCCTGCATCCTTTTCAAGTCCGGCCTCCTTCTTCCTACTCTCAAACACTTGACAAATAAATTGGTCCATTTAAGGTGTGGCTTCATTGCTACGCTCACGCTGATCACCTTATCAAATAACCTGTCTCTGTGTGCTCTTCTTGTAACTCTCTCTACCACATCGACCGTCGCAGGTTGTGTTCCGTACACGCCATTGATAAAAGCATTGGCATCTGTTAACGCCTCCATTATGTCATTCATGGCTGACATTCTCTGCTCAGAAACACCGCGGCCATTATTAGAACATGCCTCAAGCCTCCCGAGACGGATTTGACTAACCAATGAGATCGCATCGGAGCTGGAAGGTGACCCGTCAATGGTATTAACTTCCACGACGTACTTTCTTCTATTGACCAAGTTTCGTTTTCGTCCATCTGGCAGCTTCTGTGTATTCTTGTTTGTTTCGCCGAATCAGAAAGTTGAAGAATGAGAAAGTTTTAATAACTAAGCAATCTGGAGGAGATGAGATCAATTGTTATGGCAAAGAAGAAATATGATATGAGGGGTAGGGATTGCAGCAAAAAACTAGAGCAGGAACAATAAAGCAACAAGGAATTAAAATAGACGTTACAACTTATGATGAGCACCTAACTTCGAAACAGAAGTGGCAAGGATTATAGATCAAGTTGAAGAGACTATTTATAACTCTCTAATGGTGTTTCAATACAATATTTTATTTTATTTTTCTTTTTTTAATAACATCAATACCATATAGCATCTTCCTTCTCTTTGAGAATGCTTACAATGAGTTTCGTAGAAAATCAATGAATCGTATAATTTACTCCCTCGTGTTTGATTATAGTCCCTTTAACCACACATTTGCTTCTGATCAATATATACTTGCAGCAGAATCTTTTGACAAATTCTTTTGTCCAAAATCTTTCTTACTCTCTCTGTTTAAAAATATAAATAATTTTTAGTCGTATCTCATCCTAATAAAGCAGTTGATTGTCTTTAAACTAATATCATCTTTTTATATTTATCCTTTTTAACAATGTGTTTTATTTTAAAATAAATGTAAAGTGATTGATTTATTATAAAAAATTTTGAGAAAAGCACATTAATTACATCTCGAAATACTAAAGATATCTTACATTTTTTTACATCCAACCTAATGATTAAAAAATTGGACCAAACCAACTCGATCGGTCAGCATATAAAAATTATTTTGGGGGTTAAGTTAGGTTAGACTGCTTTGGACCGGCGGTCAAATTAGAAATCGAGATCAAGCTAAGAACCAAATCCAGTTTTCAAAAATCGAATTATTTAAAAATTATTTCTTAATCAAATTTTTTTAAGAAAATGACCAATTTTTTTAATCATTTAATGTTATATTTGTATCATGTGGTTTGTTAAGTTATAATAAACTTAAAATATTTAGTTTTATATTTAAATTAAGTAGCAATCTTATTTTTATGTCTTATATTTAGATTATTATATACATATATAATTTTTTAATTTAATCATTACATCATCTATTTGACTATTTATCCAACCTAATTGAACTATGTGAATTATAAACTACTAACTTTTTCGATTTAATATCTGGTTTGATTATGAAAACATTGATCCAACACCTCAAAAAATGTAAAACATTTTTTCATGGAGAGAATATGTTTGTTTTTGTTTACGAGGGAGAACCACTTTATAAGTTCTAATATTTATTGTAAACTATCATAAAAAGTAATAATTAGGTTGTAGATCTTAACTATGACCAATTGATTATATCAAACAATGCTCATCTTCTTCCTTTTATTTTTGCCCTTCCCTTACTCCTAGTTACAGCCTGATGATAAAGTTCAAAGAGAGATTTTTTTGGCCAGTGATCCAGTTTTTTTAACTGGTTGTCACATCATTTAAATCTTTTATTTTTAATATTCTATTTTCATCCATCAGAAGACGTTATCTTATTAACATTTTGTTTTGAACAAAATGCTCCTACTTAATAAAAATTCTTAATTAGCAATTATCACTTTTGTATTTGCAATAGTTTAAATTAATATTTATAACTTTTTTTAACAATTTTTAAGAATATCTAATTATCATTAAATAAAAGTTTATGAATGAAAAATCTCATTCAACAACCGCGTTAATGTCTTGGAAGAAGCGATTGCCAGCTTAATTGCGTACATCTGTTGGGGTCTGTGTGCGAATCCACTGACACAATCAATTTTCTAAAATTGTTTGCAGCTGAATAGATCGTTTACTTTGTAGTTTGCAACTTGTCCACAAAAGCCAATTCATATTTGCATCCTCTCGGATCCCCATGACCCATCCGATAATCGATCGGGTGGTTGATGTCTTAAGTTTTTTTTTTTTAAATTATAATACTTTAGCAATTATTGATAAAAGGTATTTTACGTAGATTTATATATATATATATATATATATTCTACTCTTATTTTGATTAATTAATATGTGAAT